ACCTGCAAAGAAAAAGGAAGTGAAACGATTAGAGGGTAAAAACATGGTTTTTGAAGGAAAAGACCTGAGCCATTTCGTTACTAATAAAACAAAGACGTTCTTTGAATTGTTTGGGATCCACGACGTGACAGAATACTGCAGTGATTCTCTAAGAAGCCATGTGAACGCTCTTAAGTATGTCAATGATACCGCAGAAAGAGGAATTGCTCTGATAAAAAAGTATAACGAATCTGTCAGGGATGAACAACAAAAACAATTCTTGTTGAGGATCACAGAAAAGTCGTAAGCAAGCGAACAAAAAAAGGGATTGAATCGTTCAAAGTTGATTGACACATGTTTTGCCTATCATATTACCTATTAATCTTAGTGTATAGTTTTAATAGTATTTTAAGTTTGTGATTTCTAGTTTTCCCAATAAAAGTAATTAACATTGAAAAATCGTATTTTTTGCCTACTTTTACAAAACAGATCAAAGTGTGCAACCTCTAAATATTATCCAATCTTCTTGAAATTTAGCATATCTATCTTTTACATCACTGAGACTCGGGGCGTAAGCAAAGTCTGCAAAAATTTTACAGTTCATTTTTTGCCTTAGAAAATGAAACACCTTAACGCACATGCACGCGCAGACCTGCACACAGCCCTGTGTAACTACTATATATTCAAGGATTGACGGGATCTGTAGTCCTCTGTTGCTGGTTGTCATTCTCCATGGATGAATAATCATGGATTAAGTTACAGTTCTTCATAATTATAAAGAGACTGCCCTAAAATCATTAGTCTGTATTGTTTTATTAAGAATGTCACATTCCCTTTAAGAAAAAGTATCGGTAATTAGTATCGACAAGTACCTGAGGGAAAGTACTTGTACTTTGACTTGAAAAAATGGTATTGGGACATCCCTAGTAATTATGGATCAAATATGATACGAATGGTTTGAAGTACTACATGATACGCATGTGCTATATCAATACGGTAAATAAATGCATAAATAAACATATTTTAAATAGCTTGTGCCTCAAATAAGCCGTGAAAGCAGGTGGATACATTGTGAAATGACATTGACAAATGCTTCCCATGGTGATGAATGTACTATATAGGCAATGTTATACTGGCCATAACCACAGGTATCTTTTTAGCCAGAAACAGTCAAATGATTATCCTCCTTTTGCCCAATATGCATATTAGGTGCTGGCCCAATTACTGCCTGTAGGCTAGTACTATGCAGTGCCAGGGTCCCTGTGTTTATCTTTGTCAAATCATAAAAGATTAATAGAAAAATGGAGGAAAGTTCCACCCCTCCCTCCCCTATATCCTGTGAAGAACTGTTGCTGGTTTCTTAAATTTGCTGATCTGATAATCTGCGCTCCATCCAAGATGATACTGTTATATCATTGAGACAAAATTGCATTTATTGTGCAATCGTCTTGTCCTTAGCAACATTAGGCTAAGTACACATGGACAAAATGAGAGGGTATTTATTCATGCCAAAGTGTGCATTCCATGCTCCCCAACCAGCAGGTAGTACAGGGTTTACTGAGCTAAATCGCAGCATGAGCCAAACATTGGTAAAAACACTTTGCGTATAAGACCCATGGGGATGTAGCCTTAAGCTATGTGAACAGAAAAAAAAACAAAGGCAGTGCTTCCTTTTATAGTTTAGTTTGTACAACATCTAGTCATTAGTGTTGCACCCTGAAAAATCTATTGTCATGTTAACTATCAGCATCAGTATAGCAGACCTTCCTACATCACCTAATTGAATCCGCAGACAGGTTAAATAGACAAGCTTGATGTCTTGCTGTACTTCTACCTTGTCTGGAGCTTGTGTAGCCACTTACATTAGGTCAATTCAAGGGCTACGGTGCCAAGTATTGATATGGCTGAATTTGTCTAGAGCTGTCTACAACAGACAACAAATCTATAGCCAGACCTGATTAACCAAGGACAGAAATGTACAGCATAATAAATATAGGCCCAAATGCCAAACAGTGCCTCTCCTGCCTAACAAAACTGCACAGTATTCAGTATTCCATATTCAGATGTGATTTGGCACCTTGTTCTGCCAGCCTTAGCTTAGCCATGTAATGTTGGCACTGAAACTATGTAGCCGCAGTCAGGCAGAAGGTCAACCTGCCTAGGAATTCAGATTCCCATGGTGCGTGGTTGGGGCCCACTAGAGGATCCCCTGGAACTCTGATGGGCAGGTTTAACCTTGGAAAGGAGTAGCACAATCAGAACTTTCCAGATTTAAATTTCAACTTGCATCCGTAAAGTGACACTAAACTCAGGAGTTAAATCATACCTTAACTATTAACAAAAAATGTATCTTATTTGTGTATCACTCAGCTGTAGATCCTCAAATCATCTCTGACTTTGTACTGACACTGTCCTTCCTTCTGAAGGGTGGCTACTTTTGTTCCCCATGCTCCCTCTGTGTGTTGTAAAGTAGCAACCACTCCAAGCTCACTCCCGTGATGGACTACAAACTCATGTTTAGTTTACTAATTTGTATTGAGATTGTAGTCCATCATGTGAGCAAGCTTGGAGTGGTGGCTACACACACAGGCACCATGGGGGACAAAAGTAGCAATCCCTCAGAAGGAAGGACAGTGTCATCATGATGATTTGAGGATCTACAGTTGAGTGATGCACAAATAAGGTACATTTAAATGCATACTTTAATGCATTTTCGAAATGTACTTCCTGAGTTTGGTGTCACTTTTAAGGTACCTGAATGCATTTTTAAGGTTTAACTCCTGAGTTTAGTGGCACTTTAAAGAGTAGCTAAACGTTTGTTTGTTTTTTGTGGCTTTGTACTGTTGGGGATATTAACCTCTTGTTCCTGTCCCAGAAACCCAACAAAAACTTTGAGATTTTGATAAGTCAGACGATATTCTCTTAACTCTCATTCTGGTGACAACTCTAAAATCTTGGCTTCCCTTCACTTTCTTTCTCAGTGATGATGGTCACCAGGACAAAAGAGACAGCAACAAAAATTTGACTCAACTAACCCTTTATCCAAATTTCAATAAAAAAGTTTTGTCTAGAGATACTTTAAGACTGTAAACTAAAGCTGACAGGAAGACAACTGCAGCCACCCTTACAAAATTCTTAACCTGTATATAAAGGTATTCATAGACTTTACCTCATGACTTTCATTTTATACTTGTGGTTTCAGCATAATCACACAATCACCAAGGTATCTGAGAGGTTCATATTGCTATTGCAAATAACTTATTCAAAGCTCTATCAAGAGAAAGTGTTTAGCTCTGTTGGAATTTCTTTCATCTGATGGCATACTGTGTTCCTGCACTGGGGTTGTAATCAAGACACCCAAACACATACACTTATGATAGTGCTCTTCCTGCAGAGAAAATATGTTCCTGCATTTGGGCTCTTCAAGCATCAGGTAAAAATTGTGGCCAGCTTAAAGTGTATTTCTATTTTTGCAGCTTAATTGTAATAACACTTACTTGTTACATGTCCCCATTAACATAGTTTAACTATATGCTATATATAAATATTAAACATTACAGCTCACCTTTTTCGATGCCCTTTGCTATAAACTCCAGGAATGAAAAATTGTACTTAAGCTGGCCATACACTGTTATATCTTTTTTGTTCAACCTGTGGGCTAAACGAAAAAAAAAATATATATTAGATGCCTCCATCCACGCTAAACAGCATCGATGAACGAATCTCCCTCTGTCTGAATACCTAAACAGTGACGGCAACTTATTGATCAAAGGATGCCGGATAAAAAGGTTGCCAACAAGGCCACCCACTGAATGATTTTCGGATGGCTCATTAAGAACCTGACGAAATGCGTACAGTATGGCCAGCTGTAGTTCTCCCTGTTTATGAGAGAGCTGGGCAGTTGTCTTTGCCATAATTACCCTGCCTATACCCTGCTGGCAAATGTCCGTTATCAGTTGTAAACTGGTTATGCACACTGCCTGTCCTAACAAAGGGTTAAAGATCTCACGTCATTGTATGTTAATACACTTTAAAAAAACTTTCCCTCAGTCTGCCCCCTTATCTCCACAATGCAGTTAGAATATAAGCATATAGTGTCCTATGTATAATCCGGTAAGACATATTTAAAAAGATATATTTTCAGGTATGCTGTGTGAATGGGAACACAAAACAAACATATAATGAGGGTTTCTCAAATTTGATTGCAAAAGTAGAAATCTATTTTAAAGTGTATCTGAACCCAAAAACAAAAATGAAATATATTGAAGCTTATCAGTTCTCAGATGTAGTGGCTGCATTCGTTTTATTTTTTTCAGGCTTTTTTTATTCACCTATAACACACTTCCTGAGCATAACACACTTCCTGTTCATGGGTGGCCACACACATGCCTCCACTATATCTATAGAGGAGGCAATGATTGCCACTGAGGCTGGACTACAAACATATCTGCCTTTATTTATCTCTATTACATGGGGAATTAATACTATACAGGAGAAATGTAACTTTTTTGTTTTGTTTTCTGTTCTACTCACAAGGACACAGCATTTCTGCCAAGATCAACAGATATTTTATTGTACTTTGTTAAAAATGTTCTTAGCCTGAAAATAGAAAACAACGCAGCCACTACATTGGAGGACTGGAAAGCTGCAATATATTACACTTTTGTTCCTGCGTTTAGTTATCCTTAAGGCTTCATTCACACCAGATGCAGTGCGTCCACTTCAATGGACCGCCACGCCACCTCCTGCCCCTCTAAAAAGTGAGCCTGCCACAATGCGAGGCAGTGCGTTCTGGCCAGAATCGGGCTGGAACGCACTGCATCTGGTGTGAACGGGCCTTCAGTGAAGTGTTTGTACTGTATCTTCCTATTATTGAAAAGGCATGTGATATGTGAATTCCTAAGATTATGATTAAGCCTTAAGGTATTTATTACCAGTGCTAATAACTATTAGCATGCACAGTCACTAGTGACATTTCAAATGTGTGCCCGAAAAAAAGTAAGACAAACACAGATTGTTTTAAAGTCATAAACATTTTATAATATATTTTCCTTTTGTACACATTTGATATAATTTTTACAATTTGATACTTGTAGCCCAGCAGGGATTGCTTGACACAACACTGCCACCTGTCCGAATACATTTTTTATAAAATATATATGTATATATAATGTAGCTATTTACATTTCATTCTCATAGAGTCTCTTGATTATTTACAGATTAAATTCCAACAGTCACTTTAACATTTATGGTGCCTCCACTTTCTGGTGGCCAGTGTCAGCTGAGTGTCTTTCTTCTGCCAATGGAAGACCCGGTTGACCACAGCTTTTCCATTATGGATGTCACCAGCAATGACATAGACCATGGACCTGGAGTGAGGGATCATACGGTGTGCACAGACGTCATTGATGCGCAGCCACTGTTCAATCATGTTGCGTGTGTCATATGGAAGCAACATCCCCTGTTTAATAAATTCTACTGGGCCCTCTGTCACATATTCATGAAGTCCCTGGGCAATCTTTCTTCTTGCTAGCTTTACTCTCACAGCTGTATTTAAAAAAAAAAAGAAAAAGATGGTTAATACATGATCTTGGATGTGTTTATTACACATGATAAATATGTTGGTTTTAACTGATACTGAGGTGTCCTTAACAGGGCAGTGTGTGCTTTTTTTGCCAAGATTTGTTTAGTCCCGCAACAATTGGAAGCCTAATGATGTACTTTACTCAATACTATCTGTGGGATGATTGCACATACAAGCTATTAACACAATCAGCTAATTAGTGTTATCACAGCCTCCCACTGTTTTACAACACCTAGCGAAGAATTTAGGCATGCAGATGTAGCATGGAGATTTGCATTTGTGACAGTATTTTCCTTTTTGACAATATATCTAAGCCACATAAAGGCTGATCATTACTAAGGTTACAGCCAGTAAATATCTAGATAAGGATCTGGCTATACACTTCTTGAAGAATTGACCAAAATTTGCTCAGTTAGTAGCCTTGTCTGCTGACTCTCACCCAACATCCTACGATTGAAAAATCGAAGGAGCCAGGCAAAAAATTATCTGCTGATCAGCAGATGCAGGCCTTCCGTGTACAAGTATATTGACAGCCAGCCAGGACGACAATATAAATTACAATTACGTTAAATTAAGTTAAATTACAATAGCCGAAGATTCGTCCAGCTATGTTTTTTACTATGGATTGAGGAAGCTGACTTTTTTTTTCCATTCAGCTCAAAATCTAACAGTGTATACCCAGCTTAGCAGAACGCTAGCACCACAGCCAGATGCTTTCATTATGAATGACTAAAGGCAAATAGGCTGTTTCCTTTGCAAGGGAATCTTCCCTTAAGGTGGCCATACACTTGACAACCCTCGCAAGACTTTTGTCTTGCGAGGGTTGTAAAGTACTTAAAAAAAACATACGATCTGCCCATCTTGGACAGGCAGATCGTACTTGGGGCGGGCTTCCGATGACTGCAAACGGGCAGTGTGCGCGCGCGCACACCGGCCCGTTAGGAAGTTGCCGAACAAGCAGGCCACTAACCCGCCGAGAATCGTACGATTCTCGGCGGGTTTTGAAGCCTGCTTGTTCGACGGAAGACGTGCGACCGTACAGTGGAAACGGTTGCACGCCTTCCATACACTGCACGATTTCCCGTGATTCTCGTACGAGAATCGTGCAGTGTATGGGCACCTTTAGCTTAGTGAATGAGATGAAGCTCTGATGACTTCAATCATCCAATAATTTGGAAGAAAAAAATAGGTTGTTGTTTTTTTCTAATTTTCCTTGCATGGGTATTCTTGCAAAGCAATTTTTCACCATTTTCTTTAAGTTAAAGAAAAATTCCCTGGCAAAGCAATAATTCCCCTGAAAAGCGAACAGCATATTTGCCTTTAGTAAATCAATCCCAAATATAGAAAAACCTTCTTTTTATCAAACCAGAAGTGTTGCTATATGCGTCAATTACAATAACAACATTTCTCCATTTCTGATTACTAGAAAATGGCAACATGGATTTAAAAAGTCAAAGCGACTTCTGTAGTGTAGACCTCAGTCTGCTGTAAAATATTGACCTCAAGGATGTTAACTAGACTGTAACTGGAGCAACAAACTCAGGATTTCTCCTTTTCTACCAACATAAATGATGGAACTTACCAAAGTCATTGTCACAAAAAGCATGCATGGCAGACCTATATGAGTAAGTCTCTTCAATCAGTGGGCATCCTTGACATGTTGGCTTTGGCAGGTCTACAATGGAAAGAGATCAAAGTTTTAATGTTTCAGAAGGAGAGGAGATGATTGTGATGAGTAACACACTATAATAATAATAATTGTATTAAATACTTGTAATTATAGGCTAACAAACATACAATTAAATTAAATGAATGTAGTCCTTATTAAAATGCATGTATACAGGGTTCATAACTACACATCACCAGAGTTACCTGTTAGTATGTGTTTACCCAGCACAAAAGTTTACAGATATTTACTTTAAACATGAGAGCAATGAGTACTCACCTTTGTATATGTAGTGGTAATCTTTACCAAGGTTGTCAAGGCACATGTCATCCCCAGCAGGGAATCGGTCACAGTTTAGACTTTCAGGCCATGATTGGTCGTGGCATGCCAGCACAGGGGCACAGCTGTCTCTCACAGCCTCACACATGCTGCGACAAGGTGGGATGAACCTGGAAAAGGAGAAGTCAGGTCAATTTCAGGGCTAGTCCATTAAATCTCTGCTAAAAGGAACCCTAAACCTCTATTGACATTAATACTCTACTAGGAGACCAGTTCAGCTGATGTCTATTTGTTTGTAAACAACCAAATTTACACATCATTGGAAAGGTTACTATCATTTGCAGACCCATGACTTTTTATCTTCTAATATTACACAGAAAAAGGCATGAAAAGCTAGAAGATTGCATGCACATCGTCCTACAATTTAGATTGATGGAACAAGTATGTAATCCCCTTTTTCAATGTGCTAAACTGCAATACAGAAAATACTTTCTACAGCTACCAATAAAATTGCAGGTATAATTCATACCAGCAAACACCAAGTAACTAATAATCCAAAAAGTGGCTTCATTTAAACATATTATAGACTTAGTTATTGAGAAAGAAAATGTTCCTATGTGATGACTCAAAGAACACATTGTGTAACATAGTGTATAGTAAGGTTCAGGTTCTGTCTAAGGAACAGATACTTACGTGTCCATGCAGACAGGCGAAAAGAGGGAACACAGGAAGGTTCTGGCATATGGGTGGCAGCCGGTTTGCAGAAGTTTATGCCATTCAGCAGACTTTGTAACAACCTCTGCCATGGTGCTGTGCCCCAGTAGGTTGGGAAGCCTCATTTCTGTATAGCCGACATCATGGCACATACCCAAGTCTTTAGGTATAGAGATACATCTTGTGGATAATCCAAAGTCAAATGCTCTGCAAAGCCCAGCAAAGAAGGTACTTAAGAGCAGAAAGCTGGAGGAAGAAGCCATCATAGCTGAGATGTCAAGCCTTGCTCAAGTGCTCAGATAATGATAATCCTGAGCTCTCAGCCCCTTATATACATGCAAGTAGTCTCCAGCCCATTCATTATCCACGGCTTATCAAAACACACAAGACACAACTTAGACTCATTGCCCACTCAGGTGATTGTTGTGATAAATAAAGAGGTGGAGACACCCCGGCATGGCAGACTTTTCTTGAAAGTGATGTTTGCATAATAGATTTCATTACTTTGAAAGTGGCAGATCTACTGCAACATGTAGACTGGGATATTAAAATGGAACAAATTGGGGTTTTGTTATGTACATGCTAAGTGGCAAGTGGAGGGAACCTGGACAGACTGGCTGTCTCCTGAGCTGGGCCAGTCTGCATTGTGCTGTACCAACCTGACATATCCTAAGGATGAACTTATCAACAGAACATGCTTTGCTATTGCTAATTGCTCCATGTCTCTCTGTACAATTTTACAGTCTATTAGGGATACTTTCCCCGTGTTACCAGGTGTTATCAAATCCTCTACTTTTTTTCTGGCATTAGGACAATTTTCAGTCTGGAGCCTATGATATTTTACAGACTGTACTAATTATTTGTCTGATCCTCTGATCTTTTGGACAGCTGACACAGTATGCTAGAAGGGCGGCAGGCTTCCTGTATACAAAATACAGTTTATATCTATTATCATGGAAAACCCTAAGAAGAATTTTAGGCAGCCTGTAGCACTTCCTTATTGAAAGGACAAAAAAATCCCAGGTTGGTTCATGCCAGTTTAGCACAACAAGCTTCTAAAGGAACATACAGTCCTACTGCAGCGGAGTAACAAATTACCAATTTATGATAAAGCCCACGGGCTTTGTTTAATAATACAGAAAAAAGACTAGAACATATTGAGCAGAATTATTGTTTCTTTGTATTAGGACACTGCTATGTAAAAGCCTTTGCTCACAAATATGCACTTTAATGCTTGCTTTAAAAAATATCTCCTTGCTGCATATTTAGTGCATTTTCTATAGGAATATATGATAATGCATGCAAAATGAAATGAGTGGCCATTCATGTTAAACATTGCAACTCGTTACAGTGCCAGCCCAGTCATTTTGAATGTCCTGCCAGTTCATCTCAATGCCCAAATGTATATATGACTTCTGTTTTGCTTTTAATGAAGCACACCACAACGTATGGCATGTGCACTATGGTGCAATGCAGTGCTGGTGGTTTGCCTGCTATTGTAATGTAGTGCATTAGGGTGTCATTCAAATTAAAGACACCTCACCATGGTTCACCCTTGGTGGGCCTCATTAGATAAGGTCTGCAGTTTCCAAAAAAGCATCATCACGGTGTTGTATTGACCCAAAATATCAACATCAGTAAAGTGTGGCCCATATGTATGGTAGAATGTAACGTTCCTTTGCTACAGAGCTCCACAATGCTGTACCTTGTGGTGAGCAGCTTTGCCAAAAAAAGTGAAGGTGTATTTTAAATGCACTGAGGTGCGCTGCCAGCCCATTCAAAATGGGTCTTAACACAGCCAGCTTTAATGCACAAAAATGCATACAATTAATTTTTGTTTCCTGCTGCCTGTCCATAACAGCATACCCATTATTAGCCATGGATAGGCACCAGGAACATGGAAAATTGTATCAATACTTACCATAATTTTCCTTTCCGGGTGCCTATTCATTGCAACATACCCATGAGTATATTCAGCCATTGATAGTCAGCAGCAAAATTGTATCAATACTTATAATTTTCCTTTCCTGCTTACTATCCATTGCAGCATAGCCATGAGTATATGCAACCATGCAAAACATTGTATCAATACTTACTGTAATTTTGCTTTCCTGGTGCCTATCCATGGCAGCATATATTCATTTGGTATGTTGCCGTGTGGGCACTATTCTTTCCGTTATGAAGACTAAAAAAGGTCTTTCTTTTATCTATACTAGCCCTGACAGTTCTGTTTTTGTTATATATTGCAACTAATGTTGGATTCAGGAATAAGATATTAAAATGTATCTAAAGTCAACAACCAAAATGTCATATATTGTAGCTTACCAGTCCTTAGATGTGGTGGCTGCATTAGTTTTCTTTTTTTAGCTTTTTTTCCCTTTATTTTTACCAGATGATCTAGCCAGTAACAAATGTGCTCTCTTAGGTGTCATAGGCTGGGCACACACCTTACAACCATCACAAGACTTCTGTCTTGCGATGGTTGTAAGGTAATTAAAAAAATGTACGATCTGCCTATCTTGAACAGGCAGATCGTACTTGCGATGATCGCAAGCCCGCCCCGCTGAGGGGCAGGCTTCCGATGACCGCAATGCCGAACGGGCAGTGTGCGCTTGCGCACACCGGCCCGTCCGGCTTTTATCTTACGAACATGCCACAAACCCGCCGAACATCGTACGATGCTCGGCGGGTTTTCAAACATGTTTCTAAGATAAAAGTCGTGCGACCTTACAGTAGTAGAGGTCGCACGGCTCCCACACACCTTACGATAATCGTACGATCGCGGGATTTCCCGCAATTATCGTACGATTACCGTAAAGTGTGTGGCCACCTTTAGTGTGGCTTCACTCAGTGGAGGAGTAACGGAACGACCCTTGGACAGCAGCATTGTCACCCTGTGGAGAGGGTGGTGTTAGATTCACTAGAAGATTTAAATGGACTTGACTACAAATTTCCTTTTGGGATAAAAGTTTTATTAAAATGTAATAACTTATTAAAAGCTGACCATTGTAAGCACTCCTGCCAGTGTTAAATGGTTTGTCTTAACCTTGTAACTGTCACTTTAGTGTGACAGCTTGGTCTGTTAACTCTTTCGCCGCCAGGGACGTATCTCATACGTCCTTGGCAGTGGGCCATTTTGAAAAAACTCCCGGTGGCTATCTGTTTACAATTGTAAAGCCGACTGTCGGCTTTACAGTGGAAGCAATTCTAGCGGCTCAGTTGTCGCCAGATTGTTTCCAGGGGCCGGTGCAGTGCGCCCAAACCCCACGCCTTCCTTCCCAAGCTGATTGGCTGCTCTGTTTGGCCGAGAATTTTCCAACCTGCTCCTTCGATCAACTGATCAAGGGATGCCAGAAGGAAGGATCTCGACGGTTCATAAAGAACTGGCCCAAATTCCCACTGTGTATACCCTCCTTTGCTGCCTGGATTGTCAGGTGAAAATAAAAAATAAAATAAATGCAGCAACCGCATTTAGGAATTAATAAGCTTTAATATATTATTTTTTTTCCTTTTGGGTTTAAATACCCTTTAATTTGTTTAAAAAAAATGTATAACTGAGTTCTAAGTATGAAAAAAAGTGACAGGTCTATCCCTGCAAATCTGCAGACACCATATTAGTGCAGCAGTCTGGTACAAACAAGCTGGCTATACTGTTCCACACATGGCACTGTATTAATTAGCCTCACATTAAAGAGATAACATAAAAAGTCTAGGATATGCATAGACTGTATTCCCTATCAGTGGAGCTGTGCAGACACCTGTCCTGATAGCAGACAGAGATGCCTGTCTCCCAGGACTCATTAGGAGGAGACAAGACCAGGGTAATTACCTGGACTGATAAACGCCCATCCATTAACACTTCATTGTCAAGTTCATCAAGCAGTAGCTGCTCTCACTCTCACTTCTTTGCTAGTTAAATACTGTGGGTTTGTTTGCATTTTAAAAGAAAATTGTATTATACTTCAAAGTTTGCTTAGCAGGAAACAAATCTTCTAAAAACTGGATGGGTTTGTGAAATACTGTATCAGCTTTGCCCCTAGCATGTTATTTCACATCAAATCCTTTCCAAAACATTGTTTTTATTTATTTTTGATCAATCCTGTAAAATAGTAGTAGATGCCAGCTTTATCATTTTATGTGACACATTTCTTACCTCATGAGCCTTAATCTAAAGCACACTTAAACCTGGCAATGTAGGCGAGAAAGCAATTGTTCCAAAAGGAATAATGATACATATATCCAGTGTGATACGGTATCTCCAGTACTTCATGTTAGCCAGTACTGTTTAAAGCCATATTATATTTATTTTAGAGACAAATAGACAGTCAGGCAGTTACTATAACATAATTTAGTGCTGAGAGCTCCAAGCGATTTTTCTAAGCACCTCATACCATGCATAGCCATCTTACCAAGATGCATTTTAGAATGCACCTCAAGACAAATGCAATGTCTGTTGTCAATCAAATAATTAATTGGAAAGCAGTCAACATTATGGGTAGTAAGGTATGTCACGATCTCGGAAGGTGCATGGGCATCCAGTATCATGGCCATCCTACCGAGATGCATTGGAATGCATCTCAACACAGATGTAATGTCTGCTGTTAATCAAGGAAATTATCGGAAAGCAGTCAACATTATGGGTGGCACGTATTTCACCATCCTATCAGGTGTATGGACCGCCAGTATTTTGACCATCCTACCAAGATGCATTAGAGTGCACCTCAAGACAGATGCAATGTCTGTTGTCAATCAAAGAAATCATTGGAAAGCAGTCAACATTATGGGTGGTATAGTATGTCACCAGTTCGGAAGGTGCATGAGCATCCAGTATTATCTCTACCCTACCATGATGCATAAGAATGCACCTCAAGGCAGATCCAATGTCTGTCAATCAAAGAGATCATCTGAAAACAGTCAACATTTTGGGTGGTACATTATTTCACCATCCTGGAAGGTGTATGGGCCTCCAGTACTATCCTACAAAGATGCATTAGAATGCACCTCATGACAGATCCAAAATCTATTTGTCAATCAAAGAGATCATCTGAAAGCAGTCAATATTCTGAGTGGTATAGTATGTCACCATCTCGGAAGGTGCATGGGAATCCAGTATTATGACCATCCTACAAAGATGCATTAGAATGCATCTTAAAGGTGCCCATACATTGCACGATTCTTGTACGAGAATAGCGGGAAATCCCGCGATCGTACGATAATCGTAAAGTGTATGGAAGGCCTGGGACCGTTTCTACTGTACGGTCGCACGTCTTCCGTCGAACAAGCAGGCTGGAAAAC